TCCGTGTGCAAAATTGCATGCAAATCAGTTGAGTCTTTCCGCGTATTAATTTAATTACCCTTTTATAATAGGTGGCAACTCTTTAAATAGTAGCCTCTTTTCCAACGTAGGTCATAGGCTATCTCTGTGCAAAATTTTATGCAAATCCGTTCAGTCGTTTCCACGTATTAATTTAATTAAACTTTTTAACAGGTGGCAACTCTTAACAAAGTAGCCTATTTTTCAACCTAGATGATTGGCTATCCGTGCGAAAAATTTCATGCAAATCCGTGCAGTCGTTTCCGCGTAATAATTTAATTAAACTTTGTTAACAGGTGGAAACTCTTAAGAAAGTAGCCTATTTTCCAATCTAGGTCATAAGCTATCTGTCTGCAAATTTTCATGCAAATCCGTGCAGTCGTTCCCGCATATTAAATAAATTAACTCTTTTAACAGGTGGCAACTCTTAAAAAAAACAGCCTATTAACCAATCTGGTCCATAAGCTATCTGCGTACAAAATTTCATGCAAATCCGTTCAGTCGTTTCCGTGTGATGATTTCCCAAACATACAAACTTTCTCATTTATAATATTAGTAAGATATTTTTTAAGTACTATCTGGGGCCTATTTCATAAAAGTGACAGGTGTGAAAATTGTTGACTTTTGTCGAATTGTCGGCGAATTTTTTCCTGTTTCATAGACGCCTGTAGGCAACTGTGACAATTTTTGGAAAGCGACAGTGACGATATTGGAATATTGGCGACAATTGTCACTCTGACAAAATTGTCACGACAACAGCGACAAAACTAAAAGCTCAGTTAGTCTACACTTAACTTAATTTAACTTACCGTAAGAAATTATCAATGATTACTCAACACGTCAACTTAAGCCAGAAGCGGAAATATTTTGTTTTTGTATTTTCTCTTTTAGCTCTTTGACAGTTTGCCGTCTAACATGGCACATCAAAAAAATTCATGCAAAAAATATGTTTGCGCACATTTAATTTTGAGAAATACAAAAACAAAAATCTGGAAAGCCTGATTCTCTCACCGCTATCAATTTCCGTAAGGCCGTAACTTAAGAATCGAAAATCTACAAGTTCTTAAGTTGCTTACGTTAAGTTAAGTTTTAACTAACCGCCAATACAGTTTTTCATACAACAGGTTGGCTAAAATATTAAGTTACGGAAATTAAGTCTAGACTAACTGAGCTTTAAATAGCTTCGTCAGTAAGTTATCACAGGAGAATTTTGTACGCATTTCAATACTTTTCAATGATTTGTAAAAACTAAAATAATGCAAAAACAGTTATTATACATATATGAATTAGATACAAATTTCATATGACTGGCGGCAATTTTGTCAACGACAATTTTAAAACCCGACAACGACATTTTTGTCACTTCTTAATGGAATTTTTCATGGAACTGAAACCGGGTTCCACTATATGAAATAGGCCCCTGAACTGTTAACAAATTACCTAATGTTTCAGTCAGATTATAGCAGTTAAAAAAGCAAATAATTTTTTGGCAAAAATAAAAGGCTTTGCAAATAACATGTTTTATATCCCATTATTTTAGTATAATAATGTGCAAATTTGAAGAAGCGCCACTTTACCGAATATCTAACTTGTGAACATTTATTATTTCTTTCGGTAATGTAATGTATATTTATAAATACTGTAAAAGACCTACATATATGCACACATTTAAAGTGAACATAAAGGTTATTAAAAAAAAATTACGTCAATTGAAATGAGATGTAGGTAGAAATTGCATAAACATTGTGGAGCGTAAAAAATGAAGAAACGATGAAAGCAGCGCAAGCAGTTTTACCAACAAAATCCAGGACATAAAATGCAAAGAAAAGTATTGACGTTGGAATCGTCTTCATACAGCGCACCGAAGGGAAGTGAAAAGAATGAGGCAGTCATCAAGCTTCTGCCATCTGCGACTTATGTCTTTGATAACCTTTGGATTGGTACTTGGCTCGCAAGTTCACCTACTGTGTGAGTATTTCTCTAAATCATAAGTATTTGGGGTAAGAAAATATATATATGCGTAGATATGTACATATGCATGGCCGTAGCCTGAGTCATATATATATATATATATATATATATATATATATAGATACATATATATATGTATGTATATAAAAAAGGGATGTGCCGTATATCCGGTAAATATCCGGAATCCGGCTTATCCGGACGTTTTTCTGTTATCCGACTATCCGGCCCGATGGTTCGCAGAGATACCTCATTGCCAGTTTAAACAAATTTGGAAAATGGAAATTAAAGTAGACTAGTTTAATATAAGCATTATAGACTTTTAGAAGTCAATTTTTGAAATTATAAGCTAAGACTTTAAGGGGATTGAAATTTTATTGATAATAATGAACATTTTACTTCGAAAAAAAGCAAAGCGCCTCAAAAATAATCAAAATTTTGATTATTTTGTAAATTGTTACTTAATATGAATTCAAATTCATGTATCAGCACTTATTACCTAAAAAGCGTAATTTTTTATATTTTTTACTTACTAAACTGCGTAAGTTAGCTACATTTTTGGAATTTCGTTTTACTATAAAACCTTCAGAATAAGGAAAATGTGGTCGCTGACTTTCTTATGAAGATCAAATTCTGGTTATGAGAAGGCTAAGTTTCGTTACAAGAGTTGTACACTTTTTCTTACCCATATGAGAGTATTATTCTTTTTATGAAAACAAATATCTTTGTATGAAGCTTTAATTCTTTTCATGAGTGTTAAACTCTTTATTACTCTCCTTATGAGTACTAAAGATTTCATATGAGACATTTAACCCCTGTTACGAAATTATAAATCTCACAATGAAAATGGAGCCTTGTTTTTGAGTGTTTCATACTCCATTTCACATTTGTCATTCGGTAGTGTGCGCGTATATCGAAAGAGCTAGCATGCAAATAATATTGTTTGTATTAATTAAGAATTAATACTTTGCAGTAAGGTAAAGATATATTTAGATGTTATTCCGAAGTTTTGCAGGGAATTAACTATATAATTTTTCAGAATGTCATCTAAAATTGTGCAAACTATTGAACATGGGGAAATATGCCTTACCGCTGTGCTTACAATTGGGAGAATGTGGGAACTCTATATTGTCCAAATACTAAAAAAGTCTCCTCAATTCAAAAATTGCTGAGAGATGCGAATTCAAAGCCAGAGGCAAATTGGACTACCCAGCCTTGCACCAAAAAAAGGGAGAATTTTAGAAGCTGCTGAAGAGGACTTACATGCCATGGTGCTATTATATAATCAACAGAAATTTCTGCATCGTGACCTTCATTCGAGTCGTTCTGAATAGGATTAAAGCTGTTATATTCTGGACGAATAGATTTTTGATGTACATTATCTATTATTTTTAGAATATTGTTTAAAATTCGCAGTAACTCTTTTATTGGCTGCAACACTCTTGGACGTGTTATATTTTAGTTTAAGATAAATCTTCTGAATTTTCCCTCGCAAATTAGTGGATCTTTTAACTTTTTTCCAATTAAACTTATCTATTTTGACATATTAACACTAAAACAAGGTATGTTGGCTGACAGAATGTTTTTCTTGATATAAGTGAACCTCTGTTGTAGTTTTAATGAGAGCAATGATTCTATTGTACTCGTAACAGTTTTCTTATACGTGTTTTACCATTCTACGTCTCATAAGGGCATATTTATAAGTGCTTTTATACTTTACATATTACAAGAGTTTTCTTATAAGTATCATAACAATTAACTACTCATATGGGCATTTTTTTTAGGAGTATAACTCAGAGTTGAAGTTTTATAAAAAAAGGTT